ATTCATGCAATCTACATCATATAAAAAATATTATACTTTTTTCAACATTTTTTTTTTTTTATTCTAGACCTTAATTTTTTTTTTTTTTTTTTAATTTTTTTTTTTTTTTTTTTTTTTTTTTTTTTATTTTTTTTTTTAATTATTATTATTATTTTTATTATTATTATTTTTATTTCAACTAAGCACCTCTGACGATATATATACTGTATATCTTTTTAGTTACGTTGTACTTTAACCATCTTACCCTTTATTCCCTCTTTTTGATGATTATAAAGGTATAATAAACGAGCTCGTCATTAACATACCCCAAGATTAACATTGTATAAATCATGTATTATTTTTACTGTTCCCTTAACTTCCCACCCCATTTTGCACGCAGCTTTTTCTTTTCTTTTTTTTTTCACTCCACATTCAGTCAGTGGTTTGACTGTATAGAAGTACAATGTGCGCATTCCTTGTTATATATATACATATGCTTTAAAAATTTCTGTATTTATCATTTTATTTCTATATACATACAAACATATTCACGGCGCATTACACATCTTTATAAGCTTATTTCGAAAAGCAAAAATCTCCATTCGAATGAGAAATTACTCTTTTTTTAATAAGATTGTTATTTATTCCTTGTCACCTTAGGTTCCAACCTCATTATTATGCTTCTTTTTTTCCTATTTTTTTTTTTTTTTTTTTTTTATAATTATTATTAACATCATCATTAAAGTTTTTGGAGAAGTCTTATCTATTTTTTTTTTTATGTTTCGTGGTCAGATGTGTGAAATGACGGTTTCCAAAGGGGAGAGATATTATCTAATCGTCGAGTTTTCGATCACTTTGTTGGTCAATGCACTTTTTTTCCCGGTCCATTACCTCCTAATGTCCTTTTCCACTAGCATACACACGGAAAATAGAAACTTCGTCTCTTCTGTAGATAGAGCTATTCGAGCCTCGCCGCATTCCTTACTTTCTTACTGTTTAGAACGTGAAAGTTATATAAAAACAAATAAAAAAAAAAATTCAGTTATAAAAATTAAGTCATCTCGTTAAATGAAATATAAACACCACCCGATCGCTGTTAGATTGTGTGTAATTAAGACACGACGGAAAAAACCATATTACGGTCTATATTTGGAAGACAATGATGTTGAGATCAGTATAATCTCTATTATATGATGTAGATCGCATGAATTAATTTATCCTTGTCCAAATAAAGAATGCCAGTTGTGCAAAGCCACGTGGATCTATCGGATTTTGGGGAAAAATATTATTCGTGCTCCTGAGACGCTCACGAATCATTAATCTTCCACACACAATTCTAAATCGCGAGACTGTAACCAGATGATCGAATAAATACAGAGCTATACCCATAACTCAGTTGTGGTGGCTGTCTTTTTTTAACTTGTCCCATGCCTCTTGAGGTACGGTCTGACAGAAGTCTGACAGTGACGCCAAGCCCAACAATCATGAACAGAATGCCATTTCTATTGTTCACTGAAACGTATTATTTCCCATGGTGTTATTGTGTTTTATATGGTTTAATTTAAAACCTTCTCGCGGTTAATAAATAATTTACATCAAGCTGAATTCTTTTTGGCACCCACTTGTAAAACTCAAACCATTTTCCTGTGATCGGATTAAGGCCGATGCCCGTTACATCTGTTACCATCCCCCATTTCTCCGATGCATCCTCTTCATTGGATGCATCACCATTATTATTTGCTTTAATGTTTTGAACATTCTGTTGTATCTCATCAGGTCTGAGGTAATGACTGAAGTCATGAGTTCCATTTGGTATTATTCCAAGAATCTTTTCTGCGACCAAAATGGTTAGGATGTAAGAAAGCGGTGTGCGGGAGATGGTGGACAAGAATAGGTGACCACCTCCGGGCTATATTGAGATTCGGTCGTCAAAAAAAGGAAAAAAAAAAAAAAAAGAATAAGGAATGATGCGACGCGTCAGAAGTTTCCAATGAGGCTACCTTAACCATCCCAGTACATGCCCTCAGAAATTCCCAAGGGTCTTTCACGTGTTCGATAATTTCCATTGCGCAAACTATATCAAAAATTTCACCTTGCTCCAGTAATGTTTCTGCGCATAATTTTTTTTCAATGGAGAGAGAAAAATGATGATGGCATGCTAAATAATCAAATATCGAGATTACTATGATGAAAAATTAAAAATACCAGCCGTTATGCATCGATATTCAATTTTCCCAGGTCCCTGGTGTAACATTGGATCTTTAAGCGCGTGCAATTTGGCAATTTGAATATTTTCCGAGGAGGCGTCCGCTCCAACCACCGATGCCCCCAACCTAACCAATGACTATAATAATATGTTGGAAGGTTAGCAGGGATATCGAGGATACGTGGTAACGGCTACCTCAGGTCGTACCTCGGTTAGAACACCACCACCACACCCGATATCCAAAATCCGTAGGCCTTTGAATGGAAAGTGATTGTCAATAGGGGACGCGTTCTCATCGCTAACATTTTTGTATTTCAAATATTGTCGGCGCATATATGCCACCCTCAATGGATTCATGCTGTGCAAAAATTTTACGGGACCATCTGGAGACCACCATTCTTTGGCTAGTTGACTAAATTTCAAAATTTCGGCCTCATTTACGGTGGATGATTTCGACGAGGGGAAATCAGGGTTGGTTGAGTAAGAACCGACTTGCAAGGAGGCAATTTGAAGAGATCTATCAAGCACTTTTTAGCAGTGGAAGATTTTGTGGGTGAGAATTAAATAGCAAAAGGGTTACCTGGAAGTACTTCGTACTGAATGAAATAAATTCGTGAAACTTGTCAATTTTGTAAATTGGTTGGTTCTAATGATTAAACATAACTTGGGCATGGTACAAAAAAAAAAAAAAAATGAATGAATCACGTACTGTATATTGATTGAAAAAAATTTTTTATCAAATTGATGCAGATCTGTGTCACTGATAAAATTTTGCTGAGTACGCGTGGGTAAAAAAGTTTCGCTTTTTACGTAGGAAAAAATTTTTAAAAAAGTATGTCCCATAAGCTACTGCATTCCCTTTGTCGATTTCATTTGATAACCAAACGAACTTCGTTGACCTTGTCAGGACTTTGTTTATTTGCAATTCAGAGAAGAATGGTTGGTGGTCAAAGGTTAGGATGACGTGTTTCGCCATTACTCAATAAAAAATGAGTTGCATTAAAGAATTTTGGATTTCAGTCATGAACCAACAAAGTCAAAAGTGTATACTAGGACTGGCGATAAAGGTTCGTCGTGATAGATTTTTCTCATTTAAATGACAAATGTTGCATGTTTAAAAGAGACTCCTTTAGGCACCTCAAGTCTTTACAATGGGGAGAGAAGATCGAAAACTGACGACATTTTTCACGCATTGGGAACAGTGGACGAATTGAACTCTAGCATCGGGTAAAGTAAACAGGTAGTAGTTGTTCTGATGCGTTGTGGTCGTTGACGCGTCTATCTCGTTTTCTCACTAGAATTGCTCACCATTACTGCATAAGAGATGACAACGGACTGGCCGAGAATTTGACGGAGGTAATATATATATATATTCCAAAGGGTCACGACCGAGAAAGTTGGATATTAATTTTTTGGTACGATAGATACAATGCAGACTGATTGAAATTGGATCAAACATTGCCACCCCACGAAGTTCCTCCAATGAAAGTAAATTGTGTAAGCGACACAACGAAGCAAGTGGGTCAAGTAATTCTAGAAATGCACGTTAACGTATTTGTAATTTCAGCCTACACCTCTTTTGAAGACGAGAATGTTTCAAAGTTGGAATCCTGGATTGACCATCTCGATTCAGTACGTATGATCAATTGATCTTTTTTTTTTCTTTTTTTTTATCGCGGCATAAAACGCGCGTTAACTCAATAATGATTTATTAGAAACTTCCTTCTTTAAAGAATTTCATTTTACCTTCCGGCGGTGAAAGTGCCGTGTTCTTGCATCAATGCCGTTCGGTTCGTGATTTTTCTACGCGATAATTATGCACTCTTGCATACTGTTTAACATCATCTCGGGTCACTCCACCATAGGTCTGTCGCAGGGCCGAACGTATCACAGTACCACTGGTGGAGAATGGTATCGCTGAGAACACAGTTGGAAAATATTTGAACAGGTAATTATTCAGGGGGAGTTGGCATCATCTTCAAATTTGTAACTTAAAAAAGTTATTTTATTTCCATTCTCAATTAGATTAAGCGATTATTTATTTGTCGCAGCGAGGTATGCCGCCATGTCCGGAGGTTATACTGAAAGTCTCTACAAGCAGAGGAGGGAGGACAGGTCAGGCGAGCTAGTGACAAGGGATTTGAAAAACGACAATTAGAGTACACACACTTTTGAAAAATCAATTCTTACACTCTGTAAACGTTGGTTATTATTATTTCTTTTCTTTCTTTCTTTCTTTCTTTTTTTTTTTTTTACGCGGGCGGTCTTGATAAAAATTCACCATTCGATATTCCAAACTTGTAAATTTTCGCGAAAAAAATACATCATCACTATTATTGTTGACATGTCTACTAAATATTCAAGTGAAATTGACTTCCACGTCCCCTTCATTGTAATCATCACCCGAAACCAAGTTCGATTCGACACTATTTCTCGAAGTAACATCTCCTGAATCACTCACTTCATGATTTCGACCACGAGTATCCGGGGGGATCATCCTTCCCGTGCTGTCGGTAGCACGTCTCTCTGTCGGTGATGCGGTGTTTATCTCCGCAGACGGAGAGAATATGTCGGGTGTGCCAGATGATTCCGATATGAGAGCGGGTAAAAGTAAATCCGGATCGTCATCATCGTCCACGAAGCCATGAGGTGGTGATGCTAAGGAAACGACTCGTTCCCCATCATCATTGTCGTCTGAATAGTAGACTGTACCCTCCTCTTCTTCACGTTCCTCCTCAACCTCAACCTCTTCATCAAAGTCCTCATCAAGATCTTCCCCTTCCTCCTCCTCGTCGTCATCATCATCGTCGTCGTCTTCACCATCATCGTACTCCGAATCGTCTTCCGGCGCATCTTCTCCCAGGAGCTCTTCATCCTTCACAGAAAAATTAATTTAATAGATCAAATAATAATAGATGACGGAATAGCGAGACAACGCGACTTAGTGGGAACAACGGAACGCCAACTTACAGAATAACCTTCGCCGTGTTTAAACCTGTAAGCTCCAGGGACAGCAGCGCGCTTGCACCTATTTTTCATTTCCAATAACTTCTTCGACCAGTTACAACGCCGAAATATAATTCTTTCAGACAGCTTGTGAATGGTTTTGAAAACATACCTCCGAATTGAGTTCCTCTTCTTCTTTGTCCAAGGCGGCGGCCTCGTTCATCGAGTGCCGGTACCACGAGTGGACCACGGTTCTTGGTTCGAGCGAGGGGGTCCACAGGTGGGAGCAAGTCATTATTCAGAAGGTGTGCAAATACAGTATTTATGAAGTTCATCAGTTACCAGACGAGCATCCATCCTTTTATTACATATGCATGCTCCCGTGACATAAATCGTGATCCGATAATTCTACCCGTTGCCTGAAAGATTGAATAATTCAAATATCTATCCCAACCGTCAAATTTACTCTCTAATATTGCAACAAGTTGTTATCAAGGAGATTTATGTGATCGACTACTTTTTATTATTATCATCATTATCTGCAGCACAAGAGTATCACTTTGAAATCAAAGTTTCACTCTAATTTATTTTATAATCTATCTATCAAGAATGAATTATTGTTTGATAAATGAGTTTCTCTATCCACTTGGATATATTGATGGATATGTATAAAAAAAAAAAAAGAAGTTAAATCGACATTGATCTATGCAGTAAAATGTAGTAAAATGTCGCGTATATGATCAGCTTAATATTGGAACTTGAGATCGAAACGGTCATTTCGTTTATTCAAGAATTCAATAGCCCTCGATCAGATTGGTCCTTTTGCAGCTGCGATCAATTGGGAAATTAACAGATGACATAAAGGTGTACGCAGTACGCAAGTCGGCTGACGTAACGTGACGTGTTTGACGGCCAGATGATTGGTCGTAATTGACGCGTATAAATACTCGCGACCCTCTGAGTGTACAAAAACGAAAAAAGGAAAATGGTTAAATTTATGATACGTGCAGACAAATTAAGGGATCAGGTTAGAAGTAGGCGGGCCGGAGTTGGAGGAGGAGGAAGACCTGACGACAGTTCATCCCATGAAAAATCCAAGACGCCTAGTGTTAGGGAGAATTCGGAAAGTCAAGGACTCGTGCTATTCGAGTTACAAGGTGAACTGGAGACGGTTCACGAGGATATTCGAGGCAAAGAAATTGGAAAGTTACAGTTCGGGGAGAATGTGGGTTACTTAATATTTATCCCGTTGCAAGAGATGTTGCCCGGCAAACGCATTCGTTCTAATGTATGCACTTTCTTTTCGTGTCATAGGGTACCCCGATGATTCGAGTGGGCCATTGGACCGTCGCGGGTCAAATAATCGAATTGGAAAAACCCATCATGGTCGTGAAGCGAAGATCGCTCCCACCGCAACAAGTTACGCCCGGTCTTAAAGATGTAAAGTCGGATAATATGCAACTGGATTTCCGATCGGAATCGTCCATGCTTGCCGAAAATTTTCAACGGTCTGTGGAAATGGTTTCCGGGTTGGCCAAAGATTTGGAGATGGAAGATTATGACGACGACAATCTCGAGGTAAACGAGATTCCTAGGCCAGGGATAAACTCGCATAAACCTATGGCTCAGGGGAGATCGAGCGACAAGGAAATTATTAAATTGGAGAATTTGAATGTCGAGTATGACGCTATTCAGGTGTTTAAAAAGATCTACTTGTTTCGAAACAGGCCAATTCCTGTTATGTATGGATGCTAGTTTGAAATTGTGCGTTCAGTCATCATCCAGGAAGACGTTAATACCTCGGATTAATGTGGTGGTATTATCTGTATTAAAAAAAAAAACAAAATAAAAACATTAAACGAACCCGCTAAAATGAAAATCAACAAGAACCTAATAGATCAAAGAGCTTGGTGGGTAATCTTCGGAGGGGCGTAATTCTTTTTCCCCATTATTATACAAAGAGTATGTGAGATGCCATTTTTACTCATTGTTATCAATATCCCACCGAAAATAATCGGCACAAGAAAAATGATTTTTTTCAGACTTTATAATTTATATGCACTATCGAGTGAGTGACCCATTAGAAATCGATTTTCATTGTGTTCTTTACAGCGATTTGGGAATTCATGACCATCTATTGATTACCACCGCCTTTACTGTTCACGATGTAAAAATCTCCGTATAAAACTTTGGCATGTTTCAACAAATCTCTTCCTTTCTCCACCCCATCTGAACTCTTGATCTCCTCCCTCTTCAACCCCTCATCATCTCTCAATTCGATCCCGACGCCCTCAGGCCAAAGATTTCTCAGTGGCTTCACTCCGGAAACATCTACATCCTTAATATGACTCACGAAATTGCACAAGGTGTTTATGTCATTGATTAATTTTGTCTGTTCGTCCGGCGTGGATAATTTCAGGTTCGACAATTTCAATAGATTCTTAAACACTTCCTCCGTGATTTCCGTGGAAACCTTTTCACCACGAGATTTCGAATTTGGCGATAACAGAGAATTAACCGACCACCTTGGGGATGTTGGCTTTCCATTGATTTGATTGAGACGCGACGTTTTAGGTGTGATCGAGAAACGAGAATTTTTAATTAGACTTTAATCAATAATATCGACATTCCAGGTGGAGGAAAACACACACCAGACAATCTTCACCAATTTCTGGATTATCATCATTTTGTGATGAGTAATGTCGAGATATAAAGAATGATCTAAACCTCCGTGATTGTAACTTCAACGAAAGAAGCATCATGGTTGCAGGTGAATTTTCGGTGGCAACGATTTGACACTGGAAATCTCACGCATAAAGTAATGATTACCTTTACTTTCACATGATCTTTGGAAGTACAGTACACTATATATGATAAGAAAAATTGCCAATCTATTGTTTTTTTTGTAAACATTCAAGTAAAACTGATTGGTAGCAAAAGTGCAGAAAACAATGCACTATCATGAGTTAAAAATTCGAGGTCAATGATACAGGAGTTGACATGCTGGGTAATCTTTTTTTTTTTTTTTTTTTAAAGGGCATGAAACGATGCAATTGGATGCAAGGAAGAAGCTCTTGTCAGATAGCTTTAAGATCATTGTGCATTTATAGTAAATCTCACCACTTTGCAAGTATCAATTTTACCAGACTCTTGCAGTACTTGTGATATTTACATACTTGTACGCCAAATGTCATCAAACGCTACACGACCTAAAAGATAATTTTTTTTAAAAAAAAAAGGAAAGGATTTTTTTTTTCTCATTGCATCATTCATTAAATTCATTAGAATTCCTCGAAATTAATTTCACCAAAATATCGTTTTTAGCCATGACGACAAACTTCTCTTCCTTCACCACGTCTTCAATTCTCATACTCAATTCCACTCGGAACTTTTGCATAATCATGCATACCATCATTTTTATGTCCACCATCGCCAACCGATCGCCCGGACAATGCCTCGCGCCGAACCCAAATGGGCACCAGGTGTTTGGTTTGATATTCTTACTATTTTCCTGGGAAAAACGCGAAGGGTCAAAGTCTAGTGGGTTGACGAAATGATTGGAATTTTCGTGGTATAGTGGAATCGGAAAGATAATCGTGGTGCCTGGCGCGACGAGAAATTCTTTACTGGGATCAGTGGATGTTGGAAGGCTAGTGGGAGACTTAATTAACCGGGCACAGAATGAGCCCGGTGGATGAACCCGCAAGGATTCTTTTACCACTTGCGTCAAATAATTCATATTCGACAAGTCTGATTACCACAAAACTATTTGTTCTTATCTAGAATTTCATTGAAATGATGTGAAGTGGAGTGAGGATACTATCATGGAAATTGCATACCGTCGAGCGTAGGCAGGCGACCTTGCAGGCACCTATCGATTTCCTCTTGAAGTTTGGTTTGAATATCAGGATGTTGGGTCAAGGAGAATATGGTCCAAGGAATCGCGACGCCAGTGGTATGATACCCGGCGGTCAGGTATCCATTCACGAAATTCCTAATCTGCAATTCAAAAAATGTGTAATGCTAAAGATTCCTGTGATGCTAAGGGTGTTTTGCTTTGTTTGTTTGCTTTTTTCCTAAACAACTTACCATTTCATCGCTATACGGCATTCCGGTTTCCGGATCTTTCTCGCTCAACAAAATGTCGAGAAAATCTCTAACGTCATCGTCAGCCTCGTTTTCTTTCCGTTCAATGATGACGCTCTTTCGTTCGTCGATCAGCTTTTTTAGCGTGTCGCAGAAAGCAGTGATAGCACCTTGGAACTCTTCTTCATGCAGATCATCCAAAACGCCAAATTGTTTGTCGAATAATCCACCCAGCGTAGTGTCATAGTTCTTTTGAAATGCTTTAAAATCTAAATCTTTAGGCACATCGACGCTTTTCGATGGAATACATGTATGAGACAATATACCCTGTTGACTATAGTGCAATTTGACATAAATATTCACCTGAGGAGAGCTTTCGCGGTAACCCTCAGAGAAAATTCCAAACACTGTTCCTGCATCTTAATTACTGCACCGTCCTGTGAACCGACCATTCCTTCCCATCGATTGATCAAGTCAACCCCGACGCTTCTCATCCCTTCATATTTCGCCGCCAGGACTTTTTATGGGACAATAATAAATAAACGGACGGTCTACTTCGTGACAAGAATGCCCGAGACCTCATTAACCAATTTACACTCACCATCCTGCCCAAAAGCAGAGCTCACCAGTCTCTTGAACCCGGCCGCTCGTTCGGTATCGAAAACTTGAAAATTATCCTCGCCAATTAATGGTTCTAAAAATTTAAACAAGTCCTTCGGTCTATCCCCGATCGACAAGGTGGCTTTGATTATTGCGGGGTCGACCACCGATATGGTATTTTCGAGGGAAAGTTTCGATGAAACGATGTCACCTTGTTTTGCGTGGAGTTCACGAAGGAATGGGAGGAATCCGCCAGAGGACACTACATCTTCTTCGTCATCCTGTGACAGGGGAGAGGACTTGGTGGTGGACAAGAAGAAATGATAAGCGGGCAAAGTCGCGAGCAGGATGAAAAGCAGAACGTGAGTAATAGGAAAATGTTCGTAGATGCCAAGAGCATCGAGAAGACCAGTGAAGTTAAACATCTTTGGAATCAATTGAATCGTGGGAAAATGAATGAATACACTTTATTTATACGTGCAAAACAATTACATCATTGCATGGATCAAGCCAAAACAGAAAGGGTGCATGTTAATGGATTTTTTTAAGGAATTTCGAATGTTCATGTTGCTATTAGTTCATGCTATCTCGAGAATTCGTCCGCTGAGTTTCAAATAATCACTGTCGAGTTGATTTGAAGATGAAATGAAATGAATCATCGCAAAATCCAATCAAGGACCGATAATTCGTTTTGACTGGTTAGCGAAAACCAATCATAAAAGAAAAAAAATTACTCCACCTCCGTCACCCTCTGTGCCTCATCCTCAACTCTTCCTAATCCTAATCAATTCTCTAAAAAAAAAAAAAAAAAAATGATGCTCCCCACATTACCCGGAAAAAGAATAATCTTTGTTATTTTGATGGTGATGCAATCGATAGTTGGTTTGAATGGTCAAGGATGGTTTAACATTCTGAATTTCATGAAGTTCGGGAAAGGAAGAATGAGCGATGATGAATTTCCGCTATTGGACGATAAATTATCAGGTTGTTGTTCGGAAGGACCGAGAAGGGATGAGGTTGGTTGTGGTAATGAAAGAGGGGAGAGCATTTTTTGTAAAATCTTCTTTCTTCCTCAGGTTGGCCAGAGAATTTTTTGAAGTTGTCGAGTGAAGAGAGGATGATCATCGAGCATGGACATGGTAATTTATACCCCGAGAAATCGTGTTTCGCGTTTAACCTTTCAAGAATTGTTCAAAAAAAATTTTTTTTTTTTTTTTTTTTCTTTTCTTTTTTTAATTCATAAAGCCGCCTTGGCTCAATTCGAGAGGAAACATGATTGTTTCAAGGAAGCAGCGTTGGTATTAAAGAACGGCTGTAGGAATGTGAATTTGAATGAAGACGATAAGATATTGTGCAAGTACTCAACGCTTTCGTTATGATTGACATGTCCAGCGATCTTGGTTTTTTAACGTCGAACTGACTGTTCAGACGCGGTGCGATTGACGAAGTGCGAGATCGCGACCGCAAATGTTGCAGCGCCGATGGAATGCGATGGGTTCGATGAAGATGTTAAAGTTTGTGTTGAGTAAGTCAAGTCCGCAGGTTATCTTCGCGTTCCTCGACATCGATCCCAATCGAAAAACTTTTTGCTTTCTTTACAATTAGATCTTTGTCAAGGATACCACAATTGTGGACATCCTATTCTGGATATTTCCGTGAAGTTTGTACGTGCATTTTTGAGTCGTGGAATATGTGCAACGACAGTAATAATACGAATTAATTTGCATCAGTTCACATGTGTTTCGCCGTGCGTTACTCTTTGGAACGAGGTAAAAAAAAAAAAAAAAAAAAAAACATCAAATCTATCGAGAAGCTGATGGATGATGAGACCTGGTTATTTACTTCCCCGGATCTCATCGCTCAACCCAATTAGATCTACTCGAAGAACTTCACAGAAACATCACACACAATCAACTCGTGAATTACAACATTTTACGGGTGCAACAACGCGAGATGATCTCTTGGCGCAAGGAGGAAATGTCGAAATTGGCACAGCTCGAGAAGTCTCAAACGTCGATTTTTGAAAGTGTCAATGAGATCGAGGTGCGAAAAAAACTTTTTTCACCTTACCGCATATCATGACTTAAAAGCAATAGCGTGTCGCGACCATCGATTTTTAAATATACTGCTAGAAAACCACCACCTTGCTTGCGGAGGGTATGATTTCGCTAAGGAATAATTTTTCGGAGACCCAGGGCATCGCTCATCATACCTTGGGCCAGTTGTTTCAATTGAACGAGGTATGAAACCCACGATAAAAATACATGGATAAAGGTCCTACCGCTGGATCATTGTCTATTCGTATCGTGATTATTGTTAAGAAAAAATGAAAAATCCAGGATCTCGAATTATATCGATCGAACTCGCGAAAAACGTATGAGGATATCATTCAACAGTTGAAACAGTCCATGGTCTGTGTGACATTATTGACCTGTTTCTCTCCGGATTATCATCTCACACCCTTCGATTTCTGTGAATAAAGGAATATAACGCGCACATTGTTAAGAATAACATCGAGATACTCGTGCACATTCTGAAAGTCCGTTTTGATTATTCTCAAATTCTGAAAGGTTGGGTACGACTATTTTTCGCTGTTCACTTTAAATTTTTTTTACTTTCATTTTATTAGAATTTGCAAAACATCGAATCTAACCTTCTCGAGATGTCGACGATTCAAGAGCGAGTTCAAGACGACATGAAGGAATATAAGGAGAAACATCACGAATTAGCAGACCAATGGGATCAAACTTTATCGGAAGCCAGAAGGAACTTTCAACTATTACTGAACCTTTCGCACACCGAGATTCGGTTGCTGACGCAAACGGTGTCAGACGCGCGCGAAAGTCAAAAGGATATTATCAGGTTCTTGAGACCATTGGCGATGATAATGGATTTCGTGAACTTGATATATGGTATGAAAATGTTTCAGGGTTCTCCAAGCGGAGTAGTATGCTGATTTCCCGTCGCCATTCAATCGGTCAATAGGCTCGGCTTCCTACGAGAACATCGCGAAGTACTTGACACCGTGGTTATTAGTTCCGATACTTAGGTTCCTTGTTCCTTGGACGACGGCTTTCGGCCATCGTCATCATTATCTTTACTTTTTGGTCATCCTTTCCAGTGTGTTCGCTTTAAACCTCTACGCGAATAACAATAATGTCCTTTTGGGGGTGAGTGGTTTTTTGCTGACAGAAAGGATTATTTTATTATTTTTGCGTAATTTATGCCGACCACGGGTGAATTTCAGTTGATCTCAACTTCTGGAATCCTTGTAACAACCTTGATTGTTATTAAACGTCGTCGGAGTAAAACCGGCACTGCCACGACAACCCCACAACAGTGTTCTTCACGCGAATCCCTCTCTTTCCACGGATCCTTAAGTAGGAGGTATGATGTTTATTTCGTAACAATGCAACCTTATAGTTCATCTGGATTATCGTGTTTTGCATTTATATTTAGGATACCAAGATTCGCCTCTTCGATGAATCGAAACGGTGAAACCAGTGCGATCTACTCATTGTCCGAGAACGTGTTGAGTAAGAGAAGATTCTTGAACACTAGAACCAGAAGGTCCGGGAGAAGCTATTTTCCTTGATTAAAAGTGGATCCCAGCAAAAATCCGCACAAGGCGAGCCCGTTTACTTTTGTGATATGATTGCTACTCTTGTTATCGTGCATCACACAATAAAGCACGCACGAAATTAAAAGGCGCTAGCGTTGTCGCGTGAAGTAATCTTAATATGCAATATAGATCGGAATATTTCTAACGAGTATGGTTGACACTGTCTGTTACGTGCATTTTTTAATTCGCTGCGCAAAATTTAAAAGAGAATGTGACTGCACCATCGGTCGTACAATGCAAAACGCAGATCAATCCTTTTCTTCGATCTTTCGTGAAGATTCATCTGTAAAAGGATTTTTCGTCAATTTAATAAACCGGGTCGGATTTTCTGTCAATGACTTGAAGGCTTGTCTAAAATTAGAAAGTTAATAAACAATCTCGACGCATTGAAAATAAATTTGTCGATTAATAAAGATAAAGGGTAGAATGTTAATGAGAGAATAACGCCTAGAGTCTTTCTATATTTGGGGGCAAGAATATTATCCGCTAATGCAAGCCGACTGTCGATGCGTATAACGTGTATATAATCACGCACACTACAATTGCTCCTGTCATTCAATAGGAACCGGAATTGATCGGGAATCACTATAGGTCCCGATAAAGAGAATTGTGAACTTCTGGTCTATCATCTACGATCAAAGGGTGGAACGGACTGAAAATGAACTCTTTCCGTCGAAACATCGATTTTTAACTTTTTAATGCATTTGCTAATCGATAATGCCCTCGGTTCCGTGTTTAGAATGCCAAGAAGTTCTTTAGAAAATGCCAAGACTTGGTGATACCAAAAATGATATTATTATGCTTATTTGTACTATGTGCGACGAAGATCTTTTAGCTAACAAGAAATTTAAAACAACACACTTTTTTTCTTTACAAATCACATTCCCTTTTCTGTGGCTAGAACTCGTTTTTTCCATCTCGCTTTCGTCATTTTTTTTTTCTGATAACCATTTTTCTTGGCATTCAGTTTGATCATGCGCATCATTCCCATTCCAATCTTCGATCACAACTATTCCTACCTTATCGTCGACGATAAGGCTAATGAAGGTTCGCATGAAGATGTCCTCTCCATTTCACGAACACACTCAGCTCACTCTACCTTAACATATTAGCTGCCGCGGTAGATCCTGCCGAACCACAAAAGGTATTGAGCATTCTCGCTCAAACCGGCGCCAAATTGACGTCCATCTTGACCACCCACCACCATCCGTATGTTATTAGATCCTCTCGATGAACATGTTAACTTTCACCTTACTGATGTTTTTTTTTTTTTTGTTGCATCCCAAGGCACCATGCGAATGGAAACATCGAATTGGTTTTGGCAAAACCGAATCTCGCGGTTTACGGCGCTGATGCTCGTATACCAGGTAGCGCGTTCAGCCCATCCGGAACCCCGGAAATCCTTTCTAATAACAACATGATAGTAACAAAAAAATTTTTTCTTTCCTCTTTCTCTCGGTCCTTTACAGAATTGAATTACGTTTGCAAGCATAATGAAGAGTTTACGGTATGCGAATTATTTTTTCCAACCACGGTTATCACGTGACATTACTTATTGCGCATGTATACAATATATACACACACATGCACAATTTATTATCATTGTTGTTACTTGTAGGTCGGTACACTGAAAGTTCGTTCGTTACACACGCCATCTCACACAAAGGGTAGTGTGTGTTATTACGTTAGAGACGGGAATGAGATGAATGGAGAAATGGAAAAGGCCGTGTTTACCGGCGACACTTTATTAGTCGGTAACGGATCAATTCTTAACGTGCATTCCTTTTATTTTTTCACGTGTTATTTTTTTTTACGAGAATTTGGTTGACATCACACATCATTTCACTAGGTGGATGTGGCAGATTTACGGAGGGTGACGCCAAGGATATGTATCACGTTCTTTACACCGTGTTAGGAACATTACCCAAAGACACGAAAGTTTATTGTGGACACGAGAGTGCATCTCTTAATCTTCAGGTAGGCGAAATCATTTCTGGTATAAGAGATCGATGAGTACACGGTCGGGAAAAAAAACTAAAAAAACACCGATATCCTAGTTTGCAAGCACCGTGGACCCCAGCAATCCGAGTCTTCATGTAAGTCATATCATACTTTTCGTTAAAAGACGAATTCCAATATTTTATCCAGATGATGGAGTCCAGTTTTTTTCGTGCGATTCTCAGAAAAAGTTGGCGTGGGCCCAAAACACGCATTGCACAGTTCCCAGCACCATCGAAGAAGAGCTGGAATACAATCCATACTTGAGAGTTTCGTAAGTGAGAGGCTTATGCATCCTACGGCTTACAGTAGTAATCGTGATCGTATAAATTATCTTAATAATCATAAATTATATCTTTAACACATCAACAAAACTTATAACATAGGGATTCATCCATTCAACAGGCTACAAATGTTTCTGATAACTTCGAGGTGATGACAACGTTGAGAGCGCTAAACGACAACTTCAACGCCCAAAATCACAGGAGTAGCAGAAGATTGAACGGATATAATGGCATTAACGGAATCAACGGTGTCAATGGTTTGAGTCGCGTCAACGAGATGACCGGAGTTAACGGAATGAACGGAATCTCTACGTTGATGTGATGTTTACCATAGAGGAAAAAAGGTGATTTATTAGAGGGCGGTGCGGCGTGAATAATGAAATGAACAACCGATATATATATATATTTTTTTTTTTCACTTTGGTGGAATAGTAAGCATTGATCTGGTATACCCTGATCCTGGTGACCAGTTTATGATCCGTCATACATTTTTTTTTTTATTAGTTACAAATTAAGAGGCAGAGAAAGAGAAGTCAGCCTATTATCTTGCATTATAAATATTTGGATCGCATATGAAATCAAAACCATAGATTTAAAGAAGCGGCGATGGTGGAGTGGGAGGAATAAGTAATCAAAAAAAAAAAGCTATCGTACTTTGCGAGGATATGAACTATCAATTGACGAAATGATTTTTTTATATATATGCGCATATTTTAGGATGTCATTATGCATCTCACATTCTACTACCACCATCGCGCTTACGCTTGCTTCTCACTTTCTGTATTACACCAAACTATTTCTTTGCAACATGAATAATATATGTCATATTATAAGATTCCAATTATTATATCCCATGTTTTATGCACAAAAATTTAATGGTTATGTGGGAAATCCTTTGTCAGTAGACACGCGAGGGAAACCGTTTAGCATATGCGCGCACAAATTTATTATTAAGAAAAACAACATGCAAGCCAAATGAATTACAAAGCCAAATCCATTCAAGACCCAAACCTTTGACTATCGTCATTATCTCGATCCTTCCATTGCACTCATCATCCCATAGGTTTTTTCGAGAACTTCTGCATCGAATTTCTAGTTTTGTCCATGCATCCTTCCCACTGTTTGGCCTCTCTTTTTTGTCCATGAAAGACATTATTGTATTACTCCAAAGACGAATCAAATCCGACCAATTTGTTTTGCGTAACATCGGGCTTCAATTGTTTACGCATACAGAATCCTCATGAAAATATTAGCTCCAAGGATGATAGGAGAGAAGGAACCATTGTCTGAGAATTCTTTTTCCATCGCGTTCGACGGTACATACCCACAGCACAGTACATACATACATTGATTTTAAGTTTCGTTGTTCACCTCGTTGGTCTTACAAACAAAACGCACCGAGATGGAACGTAATCCCGGAAACGCTGCCTTCATCTTATACGACTTGTACTACAAATTCGTACCAGGCACGCGTCGGACATAAAATTCCGATTTCTAATTAATTATTCAACAGGTGTCTTCGAGGATGTATCAACCTTGCATGTTGTTAACCAGAGAAAGCAGATTCTGCACGCTGGCGAAAATCAAGCACGCACTACTATTTCATGAAGACCTACACGACTCCAAATCCATTGGAAGTTTCTGCAACTTTGTCTGTTGTAATAATTAGTTTCGAGTGTTTGCATTTCATTGAACGAGTTGATACACGCGTTTCTAGTTTTTTTTTTTTTTTCTTTTTTTTTTTTCAAAAAAAAAAAAAGGCGACAACGAGTAAGAAGAGATAATTTACGTTTATACACTTGACTGGTTCACTTTTCGCAATCCCGTTGTCTTTTGTGAACTACGATACCGGCCTTGTAGAAACCAGTTATCGATGGAATTATTAATTATTATGAAGACGAATAAGCTTATAAAACGAAATATTAATTAATTAACTAATTAATAATTATCATCATTATCATCATCATTATTATGATAAAATATACAGTATGCAATGATTTCATATAAGATATCTCGACGATAAATCACACATGACCGATGTGTTTTCTCATGTAAAATTTTTTTTAATGATCGTGATTATATGAAAAGCAATTTTATCATTCGAATTTTATTGATTTAATTAATATTTGATTTGTTTTTTATAGACGTCATATATAGTATACGCTATATATTTTTTATCGGCTAATAAGCATAAAAGATTAAGTTATGAAGGTCAATCAACTTGGGAAAGTTCCAGTCATCCCATTCACTTAACCTTCTATGTTATTCTTTTCTTTTCATCTGTAGCATTAGAGAGAATAGTTTTACTCATTTTCCTGATTATTCAGGTTTTATTCTTTATTTTTTAATTTAATATTAAATTAGATAAATTTCTATAAACATACTTTCTATAATTGTATCATCTTTTTAAATATATCAATTTTGGATTAGGAAATAATATAAAATACATACTTCTTATTTATACATGTGTTATAAAATTTTTAAATTTCATTATGTTAAATTTATTTTCTATTATTTATTTTTTTATATATAATATAAATTATTTTTTTTTTTTACTTTATTTACTTTATTTATTTATTATATGTATAGTTGTTTTTAAATTTTTAATTATATTATCAAAATTATAAAATTTATATATTATATCTTAACCTTAATTTTATTTCTTATATTTTTTTCAAAAAAATTTTTACATATAATTTTTAAAGTTTTATCATTATCAAATTATTACTTTTAAATGATTTTAATTGATTATTATTGTAAATAATATAATAATTAATAAAAAAAATAACAATAATAAAACTTTTGAAATTATTTATAAAAAAAAATTTTTTTTTTAAAAATGAAAAATAAAATAAGAATTAAACTATAATGTATAAGAATATTATAATTTTTAATTATATAATTAAAGATTTAAAAATTAGTAAAGTTGAAATTTATAATAAAAACATAATAAGTGAACTCAAACTTTTGAAAACAATCATATAATATTTAAAAAAATTAATATATGCAACATATAATATTTTAAAAAAGTTTTTTTTTTACTAATTTCTTATTTTAAAAAAATAAATTTTTAATTAAAGAACAATACAATAAATTTTTTTATAAAAATAAAAAAATTTTTATAAAAGTATTTATTAAATAAATAAACAAAATTTTTTATCTGTTTAAATAACTCAAAATAATAAATCTTTTCTTTTTTTATTCGATATAAATTCTTCAAAAAAAATAAAAAATAAATTAAATTAAAAAATAAACAACATTTATTAAATCAATTTTTGTTTCTTAAAATATAACCTGATGTAAAAGTCTTTGAATGAATATTTTTTATTATAATTTAATAAATAATTATTGAATTAAAATAAAACTTTAATGTTTTTAATATAAAATTATCATAATTATATATTTAAAATTTTATCAATTATTAATTAATATTTTATTATAAAAAAAAAAAAAACTCTTTTTCAAAAATCTTCAGATCTTCAAAATTTTCTTTTTAAATAACTATTAAAAAAAAAAAAGAGACAAAATCAAATATAAGAAACATACTCTTACAACAATAACACAAAACAAAAAGATAATTCAATATAAGATAACATTATATCGAACATTTCAAACTAGTCAATAATTGAAAACTTCTATATATATCTATCAATTGCCTTACTTTCTCACTTTATGGGTAAGAAAACAAATAAATAATAATTAATTTATAGTTTGAAAAAAAGAATCAATATTAATTTTATAAAGCTTATAGTTAGGCCAATATAGATTGACATTTTTTTGATACTACAAAGAACCTTAGAAAGAGATAAATCAATTTAATAAATTAAATAATTTAAAATTCTCCAAGATCCAGAAAGATATTAAAGTTTCTTAAGATCTAAACAGCATAATATATAGACCTTCAATCCTTTAGCATCAAAACATATCAATAAATAATGTAAACATATATATACATAAAAGTTAGTTTTCCAAAACATATTTGATTAAAATCTATTATAATAGTACAATAAAGTTCTATATTGGTAAGATTGATAATTACAACAAAATAATACTAAGTAATCAATATCAATAAACTATCAAAATATCATTTATATAGGTAGTAAACTAATCAAAACAAGTAAACAATATTTGTATTAAATAATGAACAATAATATGAGCCCTATTTATATTAAACCAGAATTAGCAAACTTAATAATAGTCATTAAAATAACATTAAAAACAAGAATTAATTTGTACATATAATTATTTCATTAGTCAAAATTATGTCATTCGACTACTGAATTATTGCTGAATTTAATAAAAATTAATAATAAAAAGATTGATAAATTATTTATGATTGCTACTACTTGGCATTAAAAATATTAACAAAAAATTGACAAAAAATATCAGCATACTGCACAAAAAAATTTGATAATATTGTGGCAAAAAAAATATTTGCATACTATAGTAAAAAAAATTTTTACATATTATAAAATTGATACTGTGACAAATAATTTGTAAAAAAATTGATACTATAGTAAAAAATCTAATAAAAAAATTATTGTAGGAAAAAATTTGACAAAAAAAATTACCGTGAGAAAAAATTTGACAAAAATTATTGCAACAAAAATTCAAATTTCATAAAATTTATTAAAAAATTACAAAATTAATTGACTAAACTATTTATCATTTTTCTCTTCTTTCTCTTTTCACTTTAAAGATTTCAACTTGACTCTTTTAAAACTAGCCCCAATTGGTTTTACCTTGCTGAATGTTTTCTGAAATTTTTTGCTTTTTTTTTTCTAATCTAACTGTTCTCAAATTTCACCTATTCATACACTTTCTTCAGTTTGTTTCCCACTCTCTAAATATATTAATAATTTTTTATATTTGAATATTTTTTGTCTTTTAGATTTAACTATTAGTTTTTTATTCTTTTCTGTCTTTTTTTTCTTGTTTACATTCTGAAATCTCTTTTAAACTGGATATCCAATTTAATAGATCTTCTAGTAATATTATGTTATAAAAATATAAATTGTTAAGATATTATTTATGAGTCAACTAAAATACTTGAATTTATTTCAAGTATTTATTCAAATATTTTAACAAATCCTTTGACTATAAGTAAAGATGAGTCTTTAAAGGGGGAGACAAGGACATAAGTCAAATGTCCCTCACTAAGAAACATTAAAATTTTTAAAT